TTTGCTGGTTTATGCTGGTCCTTTTGCTGATTTAAGATGGTCCTTTTGCTGGTTTATGCTGGTCTTTTGCCAGCACATGACCAGCATAAACCAGCATAAACCAGCAAAAGGACCAGCTTAAACCAGCATCCCAGCGTCAAAACATACCTAACCAGCATATGCTGTTTTTTTCAACAGGGATGGCTACTAAAATTAAAAGCTTATTTTTTAATAAACTGTATTATTTATGCCATAACTTGTGTTTATACTTATGAAAAACATAATTGAAACAACATCAAGTGTGTATGTATATTGTGTGAATAAAACAATAGGATGTGTTGTTTACGTTTCTGAGCATGTGTAGTAGTGTAACCTGCACATGCCTTAAATCTGGTTACTTCGTTTATTCTAAGTGTCAGTTCAGCGCAGCGAAACTGTGGGTACATGCTGATGTTCTCCATTCGCAACGCATTCCTTCCAAATACCCAGATTGATTATTTTTTGACTGATCATTAATTTCCTTATAGCTTACGACAATGTAAGACATTGTCTGTCTTTTATATTGGCTCTATCTAGTGGTGGTTTTGGGTAACGTGTCTTTCGACAGAAGGAATTATGGTTTTCGTTTGCCTTGTTTTCCCCCCTCATAATTCTTGTCAGAATGCGTTAATTACTTACAACTAAATAATTACTAACAGCAGAACATGGCGCTTTAATAAAATCTATACACTGTAAGTCACTTTGGATAACGTGCCTGCCAAATGAATATGCTAATGTCTACTTCAAATGGTTTTCTAACCTTTCAATAACTATGAGCAGTCTTGTTTTGTATAATATGACAGTAATGTTTATTATTATTATACATTTTTGTTTTAAATAATAGGCTATATTTTCTTTAATTTACTTATATAGGCTTTTGGCATTTCTGTCATAATCTCACCAAGTCACCATTTTATAATAACATACAGCTAGGCCTAACTGGGACATATATAGTAGCACTGGCCGTGCCTTTAACTCATTATTATGTTTGCATTGTCAGTATTATGTTATTATTGTCAGTAAAATCCAGTACTGGTCAACTAAACCGTATGCATTGATATACTGGTACATAAACCCTTTTCAATACATATATTTATTGAACAAAACATGTCTTTTAATGACATTTAAGACACTGTGTGTTTTAAGCTTGCATTTACCCTTGTATGGGTTTGCTCTAAACTAAGCTTATATACATATATATTTATATACATGCTGCTGCTGATTGGGCTGACATGTTTGACACACCCACCAAACAAGAGAACGCATCTCAAACCCCGTTGCACACCGTTTCCAGGAAACATGTCGTTCAACCCAAACCGTAGCAAAACGGTGCACACCTTGCCACCTTTCTTTCAGTCTTTCCTTAATAATACACTTGATTTCATTCTTACTTAGAACATGAATCTGAACAAATAATTGATTTCAAAGGTCTTATCTCTTTTATCCACTGTATTGCTAATAATAGTGCAATCAGTTCCCCTGTATAAACTGATAACTCATCACTGATCCTTTTCCTTACTGATAAATGGAATTCTGGAACAGTAAACGGCTACTCAATCTAACACAGACCGGTTTGAGCTTGAACTTGCCCCTGCTGTTTGATCAGCGGGTGCAGGGCGTGGTTAAAAGCCAAGCTCTGCCTACATAAGTCACGTGGTACGATTTCGCGCGAAAGTTAGTATAGCTAGACCCTGAAAGGGAAGTTCCGGTGGGATCACAACAATAAGCTACTGCACGCCACCGAGAAGTGTAGGGACTTTATTCATACCGAAGAATGGCTCAAGCTCGGGTTACCGATTATTTTGCACAGAGTAAGAAGGGTGGCGTTGCTCGGTCTTTACGGTCCAAGGGACAAAGCGTGTCAGTAGATGTTGTGGAGTCAGCGGTGATCACTAAACCAAAGACGTCGTCCAGAGCTGCACGCTCTTCACGTAAAACGACGCGCGACCCCACCACACCAGAGCCGCAAAAACATGTCCAGCAGGAGTTCCTCAAAGTTATCGATGAGGCTTTATCGGCACAAGCATCGGATACCGCGACTGACTTGCGAGATGTAAGTAACGAGGGCTTAACGGCGAGTCCCCGAACTCCTAAACGGACCTCGGCGGAGTTTGATGTGTGTTCGGTGCTGTTCCCGTCCACAACTGAGCAGCACAGCAGCGCCGAGAAGCGAATGAGGGTCAATGCGAGTCTGAGCTGCAGAACTTCACCAGAGGAGCGCACGGTTCACAAGACTGCGAGGAAGAAGCTCGATCTTATGAGAAATGATGACAAAGAACAGGTAACGTTACCTATCGCGTAATGGTGACAGGACGCCAGTGTTGGGGGTAACGCATTACAAGTAACGGGAGTTACGTAATCAGATGTCTTTTTCAAGTAACTCGTAAAGTAACGCATTACAAGTAACGCGAGTTACGTAATCGGATGACTTTTTCAAGTAACTCGTAAAGTAACGCATTACAAGTAACGCGAGTTACGTAATCGGATGACTTTTTTCAAGTAACTCGTAAAGTAACGCATTACAAGTAACGCGAGTTACGTAATCAGATGACTTTTTTCAAGTAACTAGTAAAGTAACGCATTACTTTTTCATTTTTTTCAAATGTATTGATTGACAGCTCTCCTGTCCCCATGTAACCGACTTTAAAAAGTTATGACCAGTCTTGAGATGACTAACTGACTAGGACTATTGTAAGCAGTTTATGTTAACCGGCCACTGTCCCGTGAATGCATGTGTGTGTGCTTGGTTTTCTTTAATTACTGCTAACCCAGTCTATCTTATTTTAATGTAGAGCATTGAGCCTTTGGCCAACAGCACCCCTCAGGCACCTCAACAAACTGCCAGCAAAGAGTCCAAAAATACTGTTAATCATAATGCAAATAGCTCCCCTGTAAACAAAACAAGTGGAGGCGATAAGTCCAAGCGGACAACCAGAAGCAAGGTAACACATGGGGGGGTTGTCACGCCTGTGCAGGAACCTCCTGGTGTTTTTATGCTTGTCATTAATCAAGTTTATTTTGTTCTTTCAGAAAACGTTTACAAGAGAGGATGTGGCGGCATTGAAGTCCAAGCTGCAAAAACTGAAAGGACAATCTGAAACCGTGACGACTCCCTCACCTGCCCCTGTGTCGGCACTAACAGAGCTGAAATCGAGGCTCGATGCTGCCAGGGAGATCTCTACCAAAGTTCAGCAAAGAAAAGCTGAGCGAGTTGCAGAGGATGCTAAAGCTAGGGAAGCACAGGCTGGGCCTGAACCAGAGGAAAGGTGAGGTTCGCTGGCCAATGCGCCATTGTTTTCAGTTACCAGAAGTGGTTTCAAAATTGGAGTTCTCATCTCATGTGATTGTACGTACTTTTACTTGGTGGACATTTTAAAACCATTTGAAATCATTGCTTTATTAATCAACCCTGACCTCATAAAGCTTTAAATATCTTGCATTTCATAACAAAAGTTACATTATTTTAAGAGGTATTAAATTTGGGGACAGAAAAACAGGAATCACGATACGGTCTACAGTGACTATTAAAATGAATTCCACTTAAACTTCATATTAAACTAATTTAAATAAATGTGAACGCTACACGTTTCATGGTCATTGCGACATTGTGGTACGTTCTGCAGCAGTGGTCTTCCAACTAAAATTGCTTGAGGTCCAGTAATGAGCGGTCCCCATCGACCGAGATCCAGATAATTACATACCTAAAAACATGAATTTTTTTTTTTTTTTTTGCCAGACAAGGGTATCTGCAGGAAATTTAAGCTCAAATTTATGAATTTAAGACCTTTTTTTATGACTTACACAAATAAAATTAAAATGACCTGTAAAAAGCGGGATTTACAGTTCAGATTAGGGGTGTGCCATATCATACCGTCCACGATAATACCGGTATAAATTTTTTCATGATAAAAAGTGTCATCGTGATATCAATGATATAGCGACATGATGGCATATGGCGGATATACGATCCCTAGCGCGCACAACAACACCACAATCCCAATAGGTGTGTTCGATTTGAAGCAGCGCTGTGCAGACTGTTCGGGGTATAACATCAAAGTATCACGAGAGCGGTTCTAGAGCATATTCGAGAGCACACTCTTACCTTCAAAAATAGGCGAGGCGCATATCTTTAGCGAAGCGGCGTGGAGAGCCGCTTCTGGGATGCTTCTGAAACGTGCCGCGGCTCCGCTGGTGTAAACGCAAGCACTGACTAGAGTGGTCGGGTCGGAGCCGTAATGCGTAAATATAAGGGGTAAGTCACTCTTGCGGTATTTTGACATCATACACCGATCGTTCTGCTTCAAATCAAACACACAGCTGCTGCTGCCACCTTATGACAAAAGATTTACACTTCAAATTAGGTAGTCTTCCATCGATGACAGAAGCTCATTGGAAAAGGATGGAAAATGCCCTTCATTTTGTTTGCACTTATTTGCATTTATTGGTGAGTAAATAAATGCTGCTGCCTGCCAGCTGCAATCACCAATAAAACGTTGTTACATGTTTTTTTTGTTTTTTCTATATTGTCATTAATATCGTTATCGCAAATATTCTTGAAATGGCGTGATATAATTGAGGCTATATCACCCACCCCTAGTTCAGATACAGATTTTCACAAAATCAAAAAGTTTTATAAAATGGCAAACTTCAGTATTTCAAGAAAAAGTAGTCAAAAGTATCAATTATGTAAACAATTATCAGTCAATTATTCTATTAGTTCCGTATAAATACATTTTACTACTGTCTTTGTTTAGATTTTTACAATGCATTATCTTCTTGTCGACCCGCCAGTTCACATTTACAACTCTTGTGTGTTTGCTGCGTAAAAACATGGGTTGATTTTCACGTTGGTCTGAACAAGAACAGCAGACGGGCTTATTGAAAATGCACATTCATTTAATGCCAGCAGAAATATAGTGGTTTCTTCACTAATGGCAGTACACAAAGCAGTGCAGCACCTGACTTTGAAATGTGCAGTGCTCCTATTTATTCAATGAAATTATAGCCTTTTGAAGTTTAATCGCCACATTAAGCCATATCGCAATTCTTATCTTTCCGTCCCCAAATTTAAGACCTCCTGAAATCCTAAGACTCTCTTGTACCATTTAAGACTCTTTACATTTGATGCAACTAAATTCAAGACCTTTTAAAGACCCGTCAACTTTCCTAATTTTTGAGAATGCCATTGTTTTTCACTCACTGAAAGTTTAAGCTCTCTGTGCGCCACTCAATGCTCTCTTTACCGGCTGCATGTCTGACCATAGCAACAGTTAACTGTAGTATCAACACATGGTGCCGTAGGACCCAAATGCTTTTACTGAGCTGACCTTGATGTGCCTAATATAAATGGTATTTTATTAGAAAATAGCATTTAGTTATTTCATTGTCAAAATGGCTTTGCGGTCCGGATGGATGAATCTCATGGTCTGGATTCGAACCAGAGTCAAAGTTTACAATCAATCACTACTGTAAATTCATGTGAAGCGATTGCCCATTTACTGCTGATGAATTATGACCATAAATGCTTTATGATGTTTACATTGTAATTTGTTGTAAGAGTGCATATTATAATCTAGCTCATCTTGTTGAATGAGCTGCTAGTAAAGGGTAGACTTTTCAAAATAAGAGTGCTGGTGTATTTTGTGCTGGTTTATAATTAAGACTTGAAGTTTAATCGCTATTGAATTTTTGTACATAAATATTTTGAATAAAACATGTCTTGAGTACTTCTCATTTTATCTGTGCGGGTCTTAAATTTGATTTTAAAAGCTCTACAGATTCCCCCAGACATGCTTTGTTGTGTTAGTCTTCTGTAGGTTAACTTCTGAATTTCTTTGTTTCAGAGAGAAACCACCAGCTTATCAGCGTTATCACACTCTAGCACAGGATGTGCCGCCTGGCCTTACCCTGCCCTACCAATACAAAGTTCTAGCGGAGATGTTCCGCAGCACAGACACCATAGTCGGGATGCTGTTCAACCGCTCTGAGACGGTCACTTTTGCCAAGATCAAGCAAGGGGTCCAAGATATGATGCACAAGTAAGAGGCTGAATGAAACCATATGCTAAAATGTTTGTGTGCCAGTCAGGCTGCTGGCTAATAGTGTGGTCAATCTTATCAAAGCTAATCATATTTTTGCTTTCTTCACAGGCGTTTTGAGGAGAGCCATCTGGGGCAGATAAAGGGTGTGTACCCTTCTGCCTATACTTTTCGTCAGGAGAAAAACATTCCTTCTTTCAGTGCCACTGCAAAAAGGTCCAGCTATCAGCTTACAGTGGAGCCGGTCATTGAAGAGGGTGAGAAATGAGAGCTTGCTCAGGAACATTAACATTACATAATACAAAAGTAAAGTGACTTTATTGCATTAAACTCAGCATCTGCTCTTAGTTTGGGTCACTTCTAAGGTAAATTTGGGAACACAATATGCACCAACTTTCTTCCCATACTTGTAATGAGATGCACTTAACAAAAGAGAAGCTTTAAGGGCTCCCTGTGTTTTTCCGTCACTTCATTTTAAATGTTAAACAATCAAACGCTTAAGTAATTTGTTATAAATTATTTTTCTTAAATGCTTTTTACAGAGAAAAATATTACAGTAGTATTTTTTTTTTTTTTTACTTTTAATTTTATTAATATTCATAAAAATAATGGTTGCCATTTATTATTATTATTATTATTATTATTATACTGTAGATCTTTATTACTATTTTAGCAAATTGTGTATCCATAAAAACCTGGAATTTTTCTGTCTCATTTTCAATCACAATGTCAGAAAAAAAGTCAAATCGTGGAGCCCAAACCTATACTTTAAAGTTCTGAAATCATTGTTTATTTCATAAAACATGTTTCTGTCCCCTAGAATTTAACGGTACTCGTCCAGTGTTATCAGCCTCTCGTCTTTTGGAAAGAAGGCACATTTTTCACCAAAATCTGGTTGACGTTGTGAAGGGACACCACAAGGTAAGTACAGGATGTGCCTCAAAATAGTTTTGCTTGCATTTGTGAAACCTAGAAGAGTTTTAGATATTATTTTTGTTACAATTATGTCTTATGTTGGATACAGGTGTCCCTGGCTTCCCTAAACCCTCCCATTGTCATCCCTGATGACAAACTGACCCGCTGGCATCCGAGATTCAATGTGGATGAGGTTCCCAACATCAAGCCAAGTGATTTGCCTCAACCCCCTCAAACTGAGAAACTGACCTCAGCTCAGGAAGTGTTGGACAAAGCTCGTGCTCTCATGACACCAAAGGTGAGCACTTTAACCTTGTCTTTGTGCTCTTTGGGGCATTACTGGTTCCCTTTTCAATATGGGTCAGTAATGTGTCCAAGATGATGAAAAATCTAGTTTCTTTCCACATTTTTAAAACCCTTCATTTTATAAATTTTTTCAAAGAAATGATTATGCAAGACAAATGTAGTTTTGGGCATTTATGCCACAAAATATAAAGTCTGTAGAAATGGCATTTCATTCAAAAACAAAAGTATTACATCACTGACTTTTGTGGGTTGTCATCTTTCTAGATGGAGAAAGCCTTGGCTAACATGGCCTTGAAAACAGCAGAAACTGTCTGTGCTAAGGAGCCAGAGACCTCCGCAAAATCTGTTGCAAAGCCAGCAGAAACACCCAGTGCCCTTAAAGGAGTTTCTCAATCACTGCTGGAGAGGGTGAGTCAAGAACTACATCCACCCCCTATACTGTGTAGTGTGTTTACATGAATCTAATCAATATATTCTCCCTGATTCAGATTCGTGCTAAAGAGGCTCAGAAAGTGCACGCTGCTATGACACGGAACCCACAGCAGGAGGTGCGCCTGTTGATGATGTCACGGCTGCCAGAGTTGGCCAGGATCCTGCGAAATGTCTTTGTAGCAGAGAAAAAGCCGGCCCTCATCATGGAGCTTGCTTGCAACCGCATGATCGCTAGCTACAGATCTCCTCTCAGTTCTGGTTAGTGCAGATGTTTCCTGTTGGTTTTCCCACCATGTTTTTCTTGAGACCATAGCTGTTCCAAAACCTAGTGAGCTGCCTAGTGATATGTACTCACCCTCAGGCCATCCAAGATGTAGATGAGTTTCTTCATCTGAATTTTAGCATCACTTGCTAATCAGTGGATTCTCTGCAGTGAATGGGTGCCATCAGACATCATCACAATCCACAAGTAATCACTTAACAGCTTGTGAAAAGATACACCCGCGCACTGCAGAGGATCCATTGGTGAGCAAGCCATTTCTCCAAATTTACTCCAATTAAGAAACAAATTATTCTACATCTTTGATGGCCTGAGGGGGACTATAGAATTTTCTATATTCTATAGAACAGACTATAGAATTAGCTATTTGTGATAATGCACAAATATTCAGAACAGTTGTTAGTTTTATTATTTTTGCTAATAAGCTAGTTTTAGAACCGTGCTTATAATATGAGAACAATATCTTTCATATTTTAAGCATTTTTTTTTTCTCTCTCTAAATAACATTCTTCTAATTTAGACGAAATGGAGAAACATCTTCACCTGTTGGCCAAGTTGACACCTGCATGGCTAACAGTTCATCCAATCAGGAAGGATATGTATCTAAAACTGAATAAGACCATGGATCTGAATATTGTGCTGGACAAACTGAACCAAAAGATGAAGGAAGAGGAGTGTATTTGAGGAAATTCAAATGAGACTTAAGGAAATACCATGTGCAATATTTTATGGATTATGCCTGGATTTTAACTTTTAGATGACACAATGACATTTTAATTGTGTATGTTCAGTCAGTTTTGCATTTTACAAGACCATTTCAAATCTGGCGGTCACTACGTTTTTAACTGCTGTTTCCGTTGTATGAGGTTGCGATTTTGTTCTTTTGCATCTTGGCACTAACTCTTCATAAATGTAGACATGTAAAACGTGATTGGTACAATGTAGGACTAAGTTTGGCATCTTTGGTAACTTGGACTTCATGGTTCATCTAGTTAACCAAATGTGCATTGTAATTCATTTACAATAAAAAAGTTCATGCAAGCAATGTGTTTTCATATTCACAAAAACTGGAAGCTTAAGAGTCTGTACACAAGCTACCTCTGTAGCTGTATCTGAAATCACGTATTTTCCTACTGTACAGTAAGTGGAAAAACTAAGTGACAAGTGGTATGTCTGAATTCTGAGTATTCATAAAACAGTACCTGAGCGTATGTACTTCTGGCAAGATTCTAAAGTGTGCATGCAATGAACATTTTACTATCCCATGAGGCCAAGGATTTAAGAAGGCAATGATTGAAGCAGCACTATTGAAGGTCACATGATGATGATGACAATTACATACTATATAGAACATGCTTTTTGTGAAGTTAATTGATTGCACCTACTCAGTATGCAATTCTGGATGCAGTCCATCTCTTTCAGTTTCTAGTTCTTTCTCATGGTGGAGTTAAGACCATCAAAACCTCAAAGGGTTAAGAGCAGTTTTTTCTTGTAATTAGGAGCGCTTGTCCTCCTAATTTAAAAAAATGTAGGAGCACCTTTTGATCAATAAAACGATTCTGATCAAAAATTAGCCTTTCTAATATGAGGTGACATTTGAATCAAAGTGATTTACAGGGGTATTTTCTTTTTACCTTTGGCATGTTTCTAATTTTATTAAATGTATGCAGTGTTTCCTAGGATTTTTTCCAGTGGTGGTGGCAGGACTATTTCTCATGGACCACCTCCCCTCCCAAGAATCAGGTGCACTCAGAATTTAATTTATTTTAACTAAAAAGACATAGTAAACAAAATAAGAACAAATAAATTAATGACAATAGCAAAAACAATAAGATACAAATTAAATTAACAGTACTTTTTTTCAGTTAGGTCTAACTAATCTATTCAACTGTAAAATAACACTGGTTAGTCTTCACTGTATAATGAAAGGCAGCAGGAGGTTTATTTAGGCTGCTGTCTCTAAGACCTCATGCACGGATCGATTATACTGTTACACATGGCTCTATGCTTACTTTTCTTTTTAGGAGCTTTTGTCCTAATTAAAAAAATTTAGGAGCACATTCTGATCAATAATAAAACATTCTGATCAAAAATGATCCTTCCTAATATGAGGTGACATTTGAGTCAAAGTGACTTACAGGGGTATTTTATTTTTACCTTTGTAACGGCATAATTTATTTTAAAATTTCTATTTAAAACAATATAAGTAGAATGAGACATAAGTTACCAATCATATGAAATTAGTATTAATAAAAAAATTATTTGTACTACAGAGGTGGCACAGAAGAGTGGCTTGTAGGTACATTTTCAGACATTTAATGAGGCTCACAGATGGCATGAGTGCAATTAAATTCATACATTCATGTGGAGATTAAGGTTATAAATATAAAATTGAGTACAGAAATATTAAATGATTTAAATAACTAAAATTATACGATAAAAATGAAGCTAAATCCGCCAGCAGGTGGCAGCAAGTCACTAATTTTATCACTGAATCATTCATTCAATTGATTTGTTCGAACGCTGATTCAATCAGGAATGAAGCAAGTGACTGTCGTTATGAATGGGTAATCTTGAATCACTGACTCACTAGATTCTTTCAAAAACGCACTTTCATTGAATGAATTTAAACACAGCTGTGTTTGCTTTTAGAGATGTGCAGCAGCCGAGCTGTTACTATATTTGGAACTATTTTTGTTGAAGAAATAGAGCAAAATCAGGCAGTACTTGTTTATTGAACTGTTGTATTAAATCAATATCACATTTGCAAACTCCCTTAATGACTATTAAAAGTTGTCACTCTCCTTGTCGCAATCTGTGGGCGCACAGAAAATGAGAGCACGCGTGTGAGTTCTCAACATAGACTGCATAAAAACATGGATGTAGTGTCCATGACGTCACCCGTAGATTTCCGAAGAGCATTTTTGAAGCTCAAAATTGGGCGGAGGCGGCCATCGCCATCTTGGCAGCGCATCACCGCACGTCACTCCTGGATAATCGAAAACGGGCAAAGAGGCGGGAGCAGGTTGCTGAAGCCATGCCCACCTAGCTCGATGGTGGTGACAGCAGCGGCAATAAACCTATCACTCAATAGCCGCAATCCCGCGCCGAAATTCAAGTTCTGCTCTGTGTTCTCTGCTAATAACCCGACTGTGAACGATGCGAGCGGCATCACACATCATGTTGTCAAGCTGCAGCCGTGGCGGGGATGATTTTTGGTGTGCCGCAACAACAAAAATGCGCTACATGTTTCTTTTCCCCTCATTTTTTCCAATTGACGGAAATCCGTCGTAGACTCGCTGCAATTAACGGAAATCCATTAAAGATTGCCATCGTGAAGCAATCGTGGCGATTTCTGTGACCGTGGCTTAATCAGTGGTCCTATGTCATACAGTGAGAGAGGTTCAAAGACAGGCGTTTTTCCGGTCTTGCGACCAAAGATAGCCAACGATAGTTTTCTGACAGTGTCAGAAATTCAGCATGATCAACGCACAGTGTGTTTGCTGCAACGACCTGCGTCTACTCAGCAGCCAATGAAATTTTGCGGGCGTCTGTGATTCCCTCAGATCGCGTCTTTGATAATTCACACTGCGTGATTGTCACTCGTGCGAACGAGCACCGATTTGCCTCCGATTTCGGGCATTTGTCAAAATCGTGCAGTGTGAACTCGGCATTACGTGTGTCGCAGCCTACAATTCAATAGGTGTCATCATCGTACAGTCTACATGCTTGTCGTACCCAAGTTTAAACGATCCATGTCGCTACATGGGGAAAAAAGTGTGATAAAGAAATGATCTTCTAGGATTGCTAAAATCGTGCAGTGTATCCCGGGCTTTAAACAGGCATTGACAAGACTGTCAGTACTGTATAAGAGAGAACACGGGGGTTGATTGCAGCTTTTCAGATCCATTTAGATACTTCAGTTCAACCACCACTAAACAGCCCAGCACCTCTGCCTTCTGCTGTTTGATCAGCTCACATGCCGCATACAGGGTTCCTAACAAGAAAAAAACTAAACGTTACTCTATTGTACTGTTGGTACATTAAGCTGAATTCAAGGCATTCTGTTCTAGGCATTATGAAACAGCTTGGTGTAAAAATACACTACCAGACAAAAGTTTAGATATTTGACTTGAATGAGTTTTGTGTGTATATACAGTATACACAGAGTTCTGGGTAGATTTGTTATAAACTGCAATAGTCTGATTGCAAATTACATAATGAAAACACTGTTAGTAATTACAGATTAATTTTGACCCAACTCATTTAACACCTTGATTTGAATAAGATAATCTTGTACCATTTTGATGTTAAAAAAATAAAATGTATTCCATTCTTTGTTATCAACAACATTAAGTGCATTATTAAACATTATATTATGCCAAGGTTTGCCAAACTGGGGTTCTTCAAGTAACTGTAGAGGATTTGCAAGTTGATGAAAAGTTAATAATTCATGAAAATGTAAAATAAAGTAAAAACAAATGAGAATAAAACACTACAAATGTTTACGTGCAGGTCATGTGACCATTAAACAACATCGGAGAACTGTGAATATGCAAATGTTTTGTTTAACTTATTGTCTTAATCATTACCTTAAAATCACAAGTAAATATTACATCAGTGGCATTCCATGCAAACATAAATATACATCAATTTGTGCATTTTAATGTGTTTGAAAGGCAAAAGCCTTCCAAAGACACCGTACTAGATGGTTAAATGACTCACTGAATGATCATTCAAATGTGTTTGCCAGGAGTTGAGGAGGAATTCAACGTTGAGAAAACACTCCTTAAAAGCAGGCCCAGACTGGCCATCGGGAGCACCGGGAGAATTCCCGGTGACCTGGCGGCTGATTTGGCCCGCTGCCCTATTTTTTTTTATTTTACTCTTTAAGTACTTTATAAGTAATTCAGTTGTAGTATAGCTGAAGTAAACAGGTTTAATGTCTCACTCACCTCCAGTAGCCAGTAAATCATCAACGATCAGGACCTTCTGTCCTGCAGAAACAGCATCTTCCTGCATCTCCGCCTCGGCCTGAAACGATACTGCTGAATTACATAATGAACAGAGGCTTGCATTATAACTGCACATAGACTAGATGCAATACTGGATCATTTATAAACCAGAGTTACCTTTGCATACTCAAGACTATAAGCTACTGATAACGTGGGACCAGGGAGCTTCCCTTTTTTTCTGATTGGAGCAAATCCTACACCTAATCTCTGAGCCAAAAGCGGCCCAAACAGAAATCCTCGAGCGTCAAGTCCTAGGAGAGAATGAAGAAAACATCATTATAACAATACACCGCTGCTTGCCATGCCTTTCTATTAAAACAATTCTGGGACAAAACTGGAAATCTTCATGAAGGACTCCAACAGTTTATTAAAACCAAAGGTAGACTGACTTAAACATGAATGGATTTAAAAACAAAAGTTTGTCAAAATAACTTTGATATTGGCTTGAGAAAGCCTGACCAGAAAGTTTGAAGTCGTTTTAGAAGCTTGCCATTTGAAGGTAGTGATTACTACGCAGGTGCTTGGGCATTCTGGGTGGTTTATAGAGTGTTGCTACACAGGGTGTTCTGGGTGGTGGTTAGGCGGTTGCTAGTGTGTTCTGGGTAGTTGCCAGATGGTTGCTAGGGTGTTGCTGTGCAGTTTTTAAAGTGGTCTTTGTGGTTGCTAGGGTTTTCTATGCAGTCCCTTAAGTGTTCTAGGTGATCACTTGCTGATTCATAGGGTGTTTAGATGCTGATTCACTTTATGGTTGCTCGAGTGTTTCTTAGCTGGGTGACTGCTAGGGTGTTGCTATGCATTTGCTAGGATGTTTTGGGTGGTTGCTAGGGTGTTGCTGTGCAGTTTCTAAGGTGTTCTGTGTGGTTGCTAGCCTGTTCCTAGAGTGTTCTGAATGGTTGTTAGAGTGTTGCTAGGATGTTTACACTTTTAATTAGTCTATGCAGTTGCACAATAATTCCCAAATAGGGCCATTATGGTCACCAATAGGATAAAAATACCCTGTATGACAACACAAGAAATTAAAACAAATATTTCAGTTATGTCCTCTACTCTAGGTCCCGTGACTTCCTATAACGGTTCTGTAATTTCAATTGAACAACATACATTCCATGTATATTTCGAATATACATTACACAATATCACACTGACTATCCAACAGGAGTCCTGTTACAGGACTCTTAACAAAATCCTGGAAGAATCCCATTTCATTTAATCGGTTATCCTTATTTGACCCTATTAGGATCGGATCCTATAGGAATCCTTCTCTTTTTTTTCCTGGCACAAGTGTTATCAGGAGTTTTGCAACTTTGAACCTTGTAATGTGCCACACTCATACCTACTGAATGAAATCTGCACTCGCTCTTACCGACTATAAGATCCACCTGAGGATACGCGCGCCTTGCGTGCTCCTCAAAGAGATCGGTCACAGCAGCCAGAGCCTTCGGATCCTTCAAGACTGGAAAAATATCCCTGCAGACGAACAGCACAGACAATCTGAAACTGCCAAACCCGAACATCTCTGTCCCGTTCTTCCGCACCGCTTTTAACATGCACGCTCATAGTAAAATGGCATTGTAAATGAATAACGGTACTCACTTGAACGGAATCCCCTTCGTAGGAAAATCAGGGAAAGTTCTAATGCACTTGGAAATAAGATCCAGTTTCCCTGCCATGGCACGCGCTGCGAATGTTTGGACTGAGACAGGAAGATGTCCACGTGCTCAAGTCAACCACTAGCACACGCTTCCTCATCACATGACATTTACGTCATCGAATGTGGAAGAGAACTGCTTTTAATAAGGGTATTTGTTATTATTATTATTATTGCCACACACATATAACATATAATAATGTAAATCACTTAAAATAATTCTACACGTAGTATATAAATACAGCCAAAGGATCATTCCATCGGTAATAAAGGAGGGGAGAACGGAACCAAAGGACAAAATCCCAGTGGATTGCAGCTGTAGTGAAGGAAACAAACAGATATATTCTACACAGCATAACAAGCAAAGTGTCTCCTCATTACTTTGCTTAAAACATTTATATATATATATATATATATATATATATATATATATAAGGGGCA